CTTTTGAGAAATTAAGGGGAGTTTCAACACCCTATTGTATATCCCATAGAAATCATGTTCAGATTACGCAATACGTTAAGTTCGCACTTTTCATTTATAGGTGCATACACACTAATTAAATTGGCGTACTAGGTTGATCATATAAAAGCCTTTAAGATCGCGTTGGAAGGTTTAAGAACATTTCAGTGAAATATTTTAAGAATGAAGTTTATCCAACAATCTCCCTTATATACTATCCCGAATCGCAGTCTATATAGCGGGAAATACATGCACGTTTATTCTGGATGTTGGTTTCATTTGGGTGACCTTTTGGGGCTTTATTTTCCTTGAGCGAGGCAGTCCCTAGCATAGGCGCCGGAAGTGGGGGGGGGGGGCAGGGGGGCAGTTGCCCCCAGTCAAAAAAGTGGGGGGGGGGCAAAACGCATTATTGCCCCCCAAAACGCCCCCCCCCCTCTAAAAAAAACAGTAAAGGAGTAAACATGGTTTGTATTTTTAATCCAAAAGAACGTAACAATAATAAAAACCTGAATTAAATCACATATACAATTCCATTCAAAGAAAAAGGAAAGTTCACAGGAATTGAATTTCATAAACATTGCGCATGCTACCTATACGGTATTTTAAATGGAGGTCTCTGTAATAGCGATACGCGCATATCGTGGACATCTGGGGTACTGATGGGGGGGGGGGGGTGGGGGGGTGGGGGGATGATGTATTTCTTATTCGAAACAAGTGATTTACAAAATAATGTTGATGTTGTGACATGATTTTCCGGCATTTTTTCTCCATTTTTTTTGTAAGTCATACCTTTTTATGCGTTTGTTGGAAAATAAGAAATTCCCAAATTACAATCAGGCGAAATACGCTTATTTAGAAGCCTTTATGTCATGGTCTGCAAAGTGGCTGGGCTCGAGCCCCCCCCCCCCCTTTTTTAAAAAGTATGTTAAAGAGAAAAAAAAAGAAAGACGGAGATAAAAATAAGCGACCTGCCAATGTCACAAATAAGGTATAAAAACTGCTCATCTGACCGTAAATAAATGCTTAGAATCCCAGAGCTTATGGGGGCTCTGCCCCCGGACCCCACTAAGAGACCTAAGGCGGGCCCCTGGATGCTCATCTGACCGTAATTAAATACCTAAAATCCCTGAGCTTCCGGGGGCTCTGTCCCCTGGACACCACCAAGGGCCCTATAAGGCGGCCCCTGGATGCTTATCTGACCTTAATTAAATACCTCAAACCCCTGAGCTTCCGGGGCTTTGCCCCCTGGACTCCACCAAGGGCCCTAAGGCGGCCCCCTGGATACTCATCTGACCTTAGTTAAATACCTAAAACCCCTGAGCTTCCGGGGGCTCTGTCCCCTGGACACCACCAAGGGCCCTTAGGCGGGCCCCTGGATGCTCAAGTGACCGTTATTAAATACCTCAAACCCCTGAGCTTCCGGGGCTTTGCCCCCTGGACCCCACCAAGGGTCCTAAGGCGGCCCCTGGATGCTCATCTGACCTTAATTAAATACCTAAAACCCCCTGAGCTTCCGGGGGCTCTGCCCCCTGGACCCCACCAAGGGTCCTAAGGCGGGCCCCTGGATGCTCATCTGACCGTAATTAAATACCTTAAACCCCTGAGCTTCCGGGGGCTCTGCCCCCCCTTGGAACACGTCAATTGCCTCACAGAGGGCCCCTGGATGCTCATCTAACCGTAATTAAATACCTAAAACCCCTGCGGGACCTGCATGTAACGTGTAAGACTGGTGGTGATGCAGATTTTTCGTCTGCCCCCCCCCCCCTTCCGAACTATTTTTCTCATTACGTCACTGCCCCTGGAATGTGAGCCCCCGGGAATGTTTGCCCCCCCCCCCCCCCCCCCCCCCCCCCCAATCCCAAACTGCTTTCGGCGCGCCTGGTCCCTGGAACACTAATTTGATTGAATCTGAACCGAAGCATCTCTGGAAGAGATTATTCGGGGCTTGAATATCATTTAAGATTTATGTCATGCAATTACTTTACGGAGGATTCGTATTTAAATTGATGTTATATGTTATATTAATTTGTTTTTGTGCGTGCGTTTTTTAATAGTTTGTGTATTCATTAATCATTTATTTCAACCAAAGAGGTGGATTTCAAATACAAATATAAAACATAAAGCGATTATCAATTAGACAATGTTAGAAATAATTGTTAACTCATATGAAGATCTGAGACCCTTATCCTTATGATATGAGTATCATTACTTGTTTTCTTCTTCTTCTTTATTCTTGTCGATTTGCCCATGAAATTTGACGGCAAAATAATGTGGTCCGACACCCAACCCTTTCATATCCTCGCTGTGCTCTAGCACGGTCCCCTATATATACACCAAAGGTTCATTGTCTCCCAGAATCATCACTGATAGGACAACCTTCTCAAAAAAGTCCTCTCCTATATTAAAAGATTTCCAAGGACAAAATCTTGGCAAAGATGAGAAAACATCGAGCAACAAACATCAGATTCTGTAAGAATTTAACAAAGATTATTCGATACTTCACCTTCAAAACTTCACGATGAGATCTCGCGGTGTTTTTTTTTTTACAGAAAATGGCAACAAATAATTTAGGGCTCACTAACCCCGCCCCCTCCCCCCCCCCCCCACACTGAGCGAAATATTTGTCGGCGAGATTTTCAAATTTCGCCCCCCCCCCCCGCCCAATTGGAAAATCCTGGATCCGCCACTAGGTCAACCCCCCCTTCCCCTAAGCAAAAAGCTAGATTCGCCCCTAGGTTTCAGCACCGATAGTGGACACTAAATTATTTTTTTCATTTTGTTCCCCCCCCCCCGAAAAAAGTGCCGACAAATATTTCGGGGGGAGGGGTAGAAAGCACTACGCCCCGACATTAGAAAAAAGAAAGGAAAAAATGTTTTACTATTTTTTAATATTGTGTTTGTGGCCAGCCAAAGGGGGGGGGGTGTTAATTCCCTAACCCCCCCCCCCCCCTCCCATAGATCTGCCCCTGATGACTGGGTCACCCGGTCTGAGGATGTGTAAACGTTGATTTAGTGAGAAATCAACAGAGGAGAGCGTAATGGCTTAGGGGTTAGCGCAGTGCGTCGGAAGGACGGTAGTTCAAGATCGTCTTCGTTTCCCATCTTCAGTTAACCAAGGAGCCTACAGATACACCTCATTTGCGTAGAGTGGACATACCTTTCATGCATAAAATGTTTTAATGTATTTCTATAAGCATCAGTTATAGTTGTTTACACCTCTACTGAACTATAGTATACATAATAGGTGTGCTTGTAAATGGCGATCCTGTGTGTATTGTGTATAAGAGAGAATGAGATTGGGGGAGAAAGCGCCATGAGACCTGGAGACAGAGACAGAGACAGAGAGAGAGAGAGAGAGAGAGAGAGAGAGAGGAGGGAGGGAATAATAATAACAAGACAACCTGAAACAACTGACCTTCACACGTTATCGATTATCTTATTTCCTTCCTGATTCAATTAATTATGCCCTTCGTTTGATTAATCTGTTTCTAATCGTCTTACCACTATAGTCAAAACCAGGTTATACAAAGGTTGGAGATTTTGGAACACGTGCAGTGTACCTGAATAAGTAACGAAATTATTCTGTTGTGTGGAAGGGGTGTTATGGGGGGGGGGGGTGCCATATACCCTTCACAACTTGGTAAATCCATAGGAACTGTCGGTATCGGCGTTCGAGCACATATTTACTATCGGCCGAGACGGACGCCCCCTGCACAAATTAATATCGACTTACTAATTATTATTATTTGTTTATTTTTTTTCCCGAAGAGTGAAACGAGCGAGAGATTAAAGGTAACAAATGTTATATCGTCATCAGAGTAAAACAGATGAGATATGAAAATTGCTTGCTCTCTAATAGGGTATAAAGGTCGCTGCGAGAGTATGAAATGAAAATTCGTTTCGCCAATAGTTGCGTCACGGGATGGGGTGGAAGAGGTAGAAGATGATATTCATCCTTACCTAATGATAAAGCGCATTGAGCAACATTTTATTGGATTTAGCGCTACAGAAAATAATTGTATGTATAATAATTATGTATGTAAGGGAGGGCCAAAATAGAAACTCTGTAGGCGAAATTAAAAATCATTTCCATACACCCCTTGGAAAAACTGTCCGTAGATGCCCCTGTTCATCATTAGTATTTCATTACTCGAGATCTATGCCCCAATCAGGTACGGAAATGTGTAAATGGTCTAAATACATGCAATGTATAGGGTAAATCATTTATTTCGTTGATGATGCTTTCTAATCGGAAACTGTGTCCTAAATTTTGTCTGTTTTGTTTTGTTTTTCAAAGTTTGGTATTACTCATCTAAATTTATCGAGTATGATAAAACTTAGAAACGTGACATGGCCTATAGCCTATCCTATAAAAAATGATAGTAAAATCTTTTTTCTGAAAAAGGCCATTGTGTTTCACAAGTACACTGTACAACCATTAGAACGTCTGCAGTATGGTTGCTATTCAATACATTCGCAGCAAACGACACAGTACAATGTTAGTCGTACAATAACAGTCCTCCGTTTTGTGCAAATTCGCGCCCAAATAAAAACAGTTTTACATTTCGTTCAAAAATCTCTAAAATGTCTGTAAATTGGGGTATTTTTCGAAGGTGTCTCCATGAACTTGCACGAAAAAGGCGGCTTTCTACAACCTACAGTTTTCTTGGTTCTATATTGAATAGAAGGGGTTACTTGGGATTCTTTTGGGTGTAGGATACTCTTGATAACTTTGGTTCATTATCAAATGGAGGGGGTGAGGGGTTCTCCACTGAGTCCGCCCTATATGCTTCATACCCCTACTCCACTTGGTTCGGAAATCGGCATAATATTAAGATTACAGATTATTTCTTTCAAAAATACGATACATTCTTTTGTAGAATTGAGTCAGGCGTGGAGAAATAAGTGATTGATCCTCTTTTTTTACTATTCATAGAGAAAAATAACTTTAAACAAAATTCACACGAGACAAACCCAATCTGTGAAGTATACATTTATTTACATTTATTTCATAGAAAATAGTTCATTCATTTTCAGTTCACATTTTATTTTTCCAAACATAGACATTGTTATGAAAAACATTGATTGAACAGTTTATCAGTTTTAAAACTTATTTTTACAAACATAAATTATCGGTTTAGATGTGCGTCATTTAACATAACTGACATAATTTTTCTCATATTATGAGTTATGTTGAGCTGATTTTAATTCGATGCAGTTGCATGATTGACATCAAATCACGAATATTGGTAAAAATGTTCAAAAGCGAACTCGGCGTTCTCAGCTGACATGTGCCCCCGATAAAAACAGTTATGGTTTAGTTTTTATATCATGGATATTTTCAGAACCTAATTTATGATTTGAAAAGTTCATAACATGTTCTATTTTGTTTTGTTTAAAAGGGATCTCAACATCCACAAAGAGTTAGACTGAATTTCGTTATAGAGCAAAATATTAAACTTTAGAAGACTTTAATTATTGGAGCTAGCTATTACAGTTTAACAAACTCATAGATAGAACTATTGGTATTACTTCAATCTAGATAATAAACTTCTGCTCTTTTAGGAACTTGTGTATTACTATGAAATCAGCCAGCCTATATTTTGATTATATCTCAAAAGTGATTCTAATTCTGGGATTTTTGTGCAGGCACATTATATTCAATGCTTTTTACTCTTGTTCAAACGGATATATATTTGATATTTGAAATGGCAGAATAAATAACAATACTGCCAAAGAAGATGATGATGATGAATACGAAGGTGATGATAAAAAAAAGATAATGATGATGATATTAATAATAATAACAATGGTAATGTTAATAATGATAATGATGATGATAAAAATATTAATAATAACAATGATAGTAATAATAATAACGATGATGATGATGATAATGATAAGGATAATGATAATGATATTGATTATGATAAAATGGGGTTGATGATGTTGATAAATGTACCGCATGTATTATATTATTATATTGATATATCTTTGATACCGGGAAGGGAGTATCCAAACTAATAATTCAAAAATTGGAATTGGAAGTATATACTCCAGTGACAACAGCAATAATCATATATTTCACACGAAAACACTGCAATGAATATAATATGACAAACTGACGCACACACATAGACACGCTCTGATAATGAATAACAATGCAGCCATATATATATTCCGTAATCAATGTCAAATCGTAGATTCCTTAAATATGTTTTTATCTGTATCCCAATAGCTTTGCTCATGAAGCGCTAGATAATATTATTTAAATTGGGAGGGGGTCTGCTTATATTATAGACCTGCCTGTGGTTCCCATTACTCAAATCTGTAGAGTGGAGAAATGGCGGAGATTACTTTGATTAAAAGTTCTACCAAACAGTGTTTGGTAGTTTGGAACTCGCTTGTAATAAGCCAATCAAATTATCTTGTAAAAGGGTAACATCTCTTGTACAGAAAAAGAGGTATTATACCGAATTAAGTACTAAATTTTAATTTGCTATTATTTGATAGTCCCTTTAACTTTCCGACTCGAGACAGTCTGACCATAAAATGCCAAAGACATCAATCAGCTTGTTGACAATGCACGTTATGTATGACGCAGATTCATAAAGTAACTGATTGCCCTAACGTGATGTGCTACCGGACGATTAACCCACCGCAGTTCGTAATTTTCCGGAGGTCTAAATGAATCCGTTTTGATTTCTCAAACTGGCACCAATATTTTACTCATAGTTGTATATTAAATAAACCAATGTGAATGAAAATAAGAAATGTAACAAAAATTCGATTGCGTTCACAAAATTGGTGGTAACAGATTTTACTCTGCGTTGCACAACAATTATTTAAGGACTTTTAATACGTATTTGCAAATAAGTAAAGTAAACAATTCTTATTCATGAACAGTTCAATGTAATGAAACAGAAATGTACTCTGTTATTTTTTTCAATCTCGCTTCTCACGTAATCAAGTCAAATTCAACGCATTCTGGATCAAAATAGAGCCATTGAATAGTACTCTATGACTAATAGGCCAATACAGAGATAGTCGTTATACATAATCCTAAGCGATATTTATACTCTCTCAATGCGGGGGAGTGGAAATCGACATTTTTAGAATGTTTAGGGACCACATCATTTGGAGTTGAATCCAGCCCAGTAACTTATATTGAAACTCACTCCAAAGTTGTGAAATACACACTCTTTGGACTTTGGAGAGTGGATTCCGCTATTGTAAGAGCAGATTTTCATTCCAAATAGAATGATTTCCTGATATGACTCCAACAAGAGTGGATTTCCACTCCAGTACGTTTAGAGAGTAAGAAGAATTAGCACCCATTGCGATGGCATGATTCACATCCAAATTATCTTCAACATGTATCACTAAAAACGACCGTCAATAGATCTTATAAAATCATACTTAATTAATAATGCATGAATACATTCTCGATATTGTTCATATTGTTCACGTAGCTATATAGCCTACAATATTATTATATACAACTTTTTACAAACTGTACTCCTATAGCGTTCGGGCAGTGAGATTAATTGTCGAGTCACCTTCTTTTTCACATTCCTCGCAACAAACTAGCGATATCTGTAATGAAATTTTAAAAAACATAAGAAAGTGGGTTAATTGGGCGAAAAAAACTAATGCAGGCAAGGCAGAGCAGAGGCTCACCCACGTCTACAAGGTCCCACCCGGACAATTACCATCTGGACAACTATATCCCACAGGACACGTGCCTGCCTCCGGACAACTACCACTTTAACACCTCACCTGTCGGGGGTGGGGCAGTAGTTATGCGGAGATATAGTTGCCACAAAACAAAAATTATGGCCCAGTCTAAATTTATCACACGAATTGATGTATACCTGTAGTTTGTTGATAAATATTGTTGGGATGGAACGTTACAAAGGGTTCTTGTTAATAATACATTATGCAAATTAAAACAAAATAGATTCACCAATTTGAACCATAAACAAAAAGTATAACATTCACTACAATTCAGAGGATACAGAGTGACATGGTACATAGTAATACTTGCCCTACAACTGATAACAAATAATATGAATAACAGTCATTTTCCTTTCTTGTTTAGTGGACTATATGAATTTAAATTCCTATGACCAGGACGTGCTTCGAAAGTTTTTAAGAACTATTACCCTAGCTATAGCCCTGGCACCCATTTTCAGCACACAGCGCATATCAAGGAATAACTCCTGCCAGGAGCCAATTTGATACTTGGGTCGATAAAGACAACTCTAGATAAGTATAATGTCTTGCATAAGGACATACGCACCGGGCAGAGATTCGAATCCTCAACCTCTCGTTTGAGAGGCAAGTGAATGAACCACTATGCAACGTCGGTTAAAAGTGTGGTCAGTATGGTTGTAGAATCGTGGTAAGATGTTGGAGTGGCAGTCGTATCTGCTGCTGTTGAAATGAATAATAAATAAAAAATGTGCCTTAACAATTAAGCAGCCTTCAAATGTTTAAATCCCCCTTTTAATTGTACGTTTACGCTTACTGCATATTCAATTTGCCAGTGTAAAAATCGGATGTAAAACGTGCAATAATAAGAGGTAGCTGTTTATACAGTAGGCTTAAGTTTTCATGCAACTAGGATCGGAATGAGAAGGGGGAGGGGGGCAATAATAGTGTGACCCATCCTTTTGAGGAAGAGAAATAATTTGCTTTTTAGAGATGGAAATCCTTATCAAGGTGGCCTGTGGGATTCTTGACATCATATTCCAAAGAAGGGGGTGGTAGAACCCATTTTTTTTTTTACGCTCACACTTTTGAAAGGAAACTTCAGTAATTTTTAAAGCAGACATACCAGGCCAGTTCGACACTACGTCCCAGTCACACCACTAAATCAACTCAAAACCGATTCCATACCGACCGAATCTTGGTCTTTAGGGCTAGTGTAACTTGTTGTTCGGTCTATTGTCGGTCTCGTGTCGGTCTCGTCAGTGTGACTGGAGTATCATGTACAACCATGCCGACCACAGTCACAAGCGATGTTCGATAAATGGGGAAGAACCCACCGAAACCTCCCCCCCCCCCCCCACAACTATAATGTGCTACACACACAAATTACTTTTAATCAGTAGCGGGTTCAGGGTCCTGGGTCACCCCCCCCCCCCCCCTCATCCCCAATAACCAGTTTTGTGTGATTACACTCCAAAAGTTAGAAGAAAAAAAAACTGAAAATGCACCTGAAACCAGATTCCTTTACTATTCTTTTTTTCTTCTTTTCTTTTCTTTTCTTTTTCTTCGGTGATGAATTGTGGGACATGGCTGTCGACACATCGGGGCATTGTGAAGAGCAGATACGTAAATCTGCAGCAGTGACAGTATGATACCCAGGCTAAGTCTGGTCGGGACCAGTGTTGAAGTTAGGAATTCGAATATAATGTACGTGTTATACAATGGAGAATCTAGCTGAAAGGGCCTTACCTGTGAAACAGTCCGGGCATATCTGATTGGGAACAGCACGGAACGAGGCGCCTTTGCACATCACGCCGTTGTTACATTGGCGAGTTTCAAAGACGAAGGTTGGGGCATCGCATAAGTAGTCGTTGGGACAGGCAAGAAAACTCCAGGGACCCCATACTGTAGAATTAAAAAAAATTGTTTGAAATAGTGCTTCTTCCTTCCGACGTAACAAGCAGATTGAGATATCAGTAAAGCAGACATCTCGATGCACATTTAGATGATAACTAAAAACTATTAATTATAAACTGCATTCACAGACTCGAAATAAACAGCCATTATTATCTGTAATTGATTTATTACATTATTGACGCAATTGACTTTCAGCCCTGCCCCTTCTCCATAATAAAGGATCTGGCAACGGTGGAGCAATTAATACTAATAAAAGCCTAATTAATACCAATATGTGCTCATATCTACCAAGCAAGCTGATACATGTGGTGGAGAGTGGTAAATGTATATTAATGTCTTGCCAAAGGAAACTACAGTGTCATGATGGGGCTCGAAACCACGACCTTCGCATATCCAGTCAAGTGCTTAGTCCACTCAACCACGACGCATCTATAGTTACAAAAAAATAAGGATTTCTTACCTGCACAGTCTTGCATATTACACGGTCTGGTCTCAATTGAGCCATTGGTAAGAGATCTTGTTTTAGCTCCGTCTCCACACGATACAGAGCATGCACTCCATGAGCTATGCGTTGGATTGGCTGTTAAAAAGAAGAAGCAATAGAATAATTAAATTAAAGAACAGTTTTTCTTAAAGAATAACTGATGATGATGATGATGATGATGATTCACAGCATTTGTATGGCGTCATATATCTGTTTTAAAAAACACATTCAAAGGCGCGAGCTCCTCCAAAAAAATTAGCATTTGAATGTCTGAAGGAAGATGTGAGTTTTGAGTGAAGCTTTGAAGTGGTCAAGGTTGTCAATTTCGCGAATAGATGATGGGAGGGAATTCCACAGGCGAGGAGCAATAGAGGAAAATGCTCGGTCTCCATATCCCTTGAGATGAGTAATGGGCATCTGGAGAGTAAGGCCAGATGCGCAAAGTCCAGGGCGAAGATGACGCCGCTCGATTAAAAGATGACACATATCATGGGGTGACCGTGAATTGCCTTAAATATTAGCAGTAGGACCTTTTTTGCCTAAAGTTACTATTACTCCAGCAATAGACCGGTTTACTAATATATTAACATCTATGGATTTTTTTTTCCTCGGGACCTAGTGACGAGTTATTTCATAAAATCGGTTAATAATGAATGAACTTCAATACTTGAGATCCAGTCTGCATACAATACTTGTTGCTATGTCGGGCAAGCATCGTACAAGCTTTCAGGTTGTCAAGAACAACCGTTGTTTAAAAAGTATTCATAAAATTTGAATATGTATTTACCAGGTACCCATTTACACCTGGGTGCATGGAGAGTGGCTAATAAATGTGGTTATCAGGCTGGTGATTGTTAAGGACATCATTGCCTGCATGGCTGGGATTCGAAACTTCAACCCTTTGACTTAGAACAAGGTAAATGACCCACTATGCCATGACACCCCAACAAGGATACATATATCATATTATTTAAATGGAAAGAAAAGATGAGATATGACCCCGATATGACTCTCTCGCAGCTCTTAGTGTGTCTCTCTTTATTCGTCAAGCTTTCGATTTCGCCCATCTTTTGGGGGAATAGTTGCATGAAACCGTCGTAAAAGTGTGTTGTATAATACGTGTACATGCATAGTCTAAATACACATGCATACGTGTATTTTCATGTATTTAAATCTCTACGTATTTGCATGAGATACTCGTAATACCTACATGTACATGTGTCGAGTTATAAATCAAAATGAAAAGAAAAACATCATTCTGCGTCATCTGTATATTTTGTTCGATGCACAGGTCACACGAAATAGTAAAATTACCCCTTTTTTATCGCATTGAATATCTATATCTATATTCAAAGAGTATAAAATGTTTAGATACCAAATTAATACGGCAAAGTCTGATACAATACCTCTCAAAAATATAAGTGTTTTATCATCCATATTAATTATCGAGATTATAACAATTCATTATATCACTGATTTACATGAGATATTTTAATTATTATTTGTAAGTCTGGAAGTGAATAGAATGTGCAAAATGAGACCAAACGTGTAAGACAACTCACCCCCCCCCCCCCCACCTCCCCACTTCCCTCCTACACCCAAACGAGGAAACTTGTGATAGACCATTGTTCTTGACAAAATGTTTTCCGGTTGCCTGTGGTGTTAGTTGACTATTGTTTCCTTGATTATTGGTGTAATTATCCAGTTTTGCACTAGTCATCGTAATTTCTTTACACCTTTTCCTCCAAAAGCAGTCCATTGTTTAAACGAAATAAATATAGCAGCATGCAATACCCGTTGCAAGCACTATAGCGATTTTCGTCAAAACCAAAAATGACATCGTCCTTTTATTTTCCCGCATAGTATGAAAAGATGTCGAAACGTTCACACGATCTTGTGATTCAAAAAGTATTTCTTACATACGGGTTCTAGATGCTTAAATACATAAAAGGTAAAGATAGTCATCTAATGAAACAAAACACAAATGATTAAGGATTCAAAAGCTTTCCTGCCACAACATAACAGCGGAACTTGGATTTACGCATGACTCAAAACTACATTCACATGTGATACAAAAAAGGGTCGCATTAATTCCCTGGTTCCGATACATTCAAACCACTCTAATCTACATTAGGAAGTAAATAAGTGACCTCATTGTATTTAGGCTCCCCAGTAAAGTAAAGGTCAAACACAATTTATCTACACATTGGAGTGTATAACAAGTTGTATACACATTATACAAATTAAAGCGCTTACATGGACAGTCCTTCGATCAATATCTCTAAACTATTTGCCAGGTCAGGGAATCATTTTTGTCCAATCTATACATTCACCAGGACCTACTCATCATGACGGAGATGATGCAGTCAAAATTACAAGATTTACTAGGTACCTTGAAGGCCTTAACATAATTTATGCTTTTCTACGAACATGCAAGCACAAAATATCTCGTTTCCACCCACATAAAAATAAAAGAAATAGAAAATGTTGATTTATAAATTATGATAGCATAAATCAATTTGATATGAGTGTGGAGTTTAACGACGATAAGTTCATAACCTTAAAAGGTATGCCAAAGATAATAAACATGTCAGGTACAACATTCCGATGAATATCGGGTTCATTGATTCATCCTACATATTTTTCGAAAGAAAGTATATGCATAGGCCAATATATCAATAATTAATTAAAGGCCAACATTACTTTAGTTTTGTAAAACCCAAACGACCATTTGTCAGATATCTTTGATTTGAGTTATTGAATAGCCAGATACTAATGAAATAAGCAGCTGTAAATTAATTTCCTCCATAAACTGGAATACTTTATAAAATGAAATGAGTAGGAAATTTCCAGTCGCGACAGGTATTCTCATACCAAAAGACATAACTGCGATCAAAGAGTCGAAAACTCAACAAAGTTGGAGTAAATTGTGCTTCGGCGCAGACAGATATTTAAATTAAAATCTATTGGACAAACATGGATGTAGCATCAAATAATCTTGTGCAAATTATTTTGATATACGTGAATCAATGTGAGGACAAATTCAACAATTTTTTTCCCGATTTCCTCGACGATACAAGACGTTTTTGTCCGAAAAAAAATTATGCTCTTTACGTGGGCAATGCGTTTTACAGTCATTCGATGTATTTTTTAATCTATGGCGGGAAAATATAGTTTCTCTCAATTTGATTTGTGTCCTGTTTTAATTTTTTTTTCTCTCACTTTATTCATTGAGAACAATAAGAAAATTACATCAACACGAAGCGAATTAACTTCACATGAGAGCCAACAAAGTATATATTATGCTTACTTCCAAATGGTAAAAGCATTTAAAGATTAATGTAGTTGTAAATATATGATTTTTCTTGTTCAATATAGTTTATATTTACCATATTCTCGAGCTTATAAATTATACTTCATTTACCAGATACCTGATATAAACCTATATTAATAAATATTATATCACACTTGCTACATAATATATTTGATATACTGATTATAAGTATCGGCTCGCATGGTGATGTAGATACTTATACAGTAGGCTTACGGTTGCACAATGTGAGAGGGGGAGGAAGTATATTAATAGGCCTATGTATCATTAAAGGCCATTGCTTTAGTTTTGGAAAACAAAAAAAAACTTTTGTCAGATATTTTGATTCGAGTTGTTGAATAGCAAAATACTTAAACAAATTAAGCTGCTGTAAATTAATTTCCTCCATTACTGGAATACTTGAACATAAATGAACATATCTAATTATTAACCATATATTAACCATAATACCTGATAACGCATTAGTTCCTCGTAATATATTTACCATAAATATATACATACCTGATAAAAACCCAATTAATCACAGTTCAATTACAATATACATGTACCAGATACAGATAAGACAAACCCTCCAAACCTTTCCAACTTTTCAGATATGAATTAAGTTAAATATTGATATATTTACAATATATCTGATATAAATTTATTTAATCATGTTTACCTTATACAGTCATGTATTTATAATCTACATTTACGTAATTTATTTACCACATACATGCACGTGATATAAACTTAGTTAATCATAATATACTTACCATACGAACAAACGATGAGAAATAATAGAAGACTTGAGGTAATAACTCGTTTGGTTAAAGGATCCATTTTTAGTTGAGATAAAATCAGTCTCCACGAACAGCAAACTGGAGTACAGAATCCTTTCGCAAAAAGAGAAAATACAAACTAGACAAAATAGCTTTGGACTATAGATCCTGGTGACTGAATCCAATATGATAAGATCAAGCCAAGTTTTTTTAAAAATATAAATGGAAACTCTAATGGTACGCTGTGGTGCGGAATGTGCAGGTTTCCGGAATCGTAGCGACTTGATTGACTTATTTGCTGTCATGCCGCTGGTCCCCACTTATATAGGGAGCCAGACGCATAGTGAAACACACACAATGATGACGTACGGGCTTTGAGTAGGCGGATGGTGCGTGAGTCTCTTAAAAAAGCAATCGTAGTAATGATGATGATGATGATGCTGATGGTGGCGGTACTTTTTCGTTCCATACCTTAAATCCGAGTGTAGATAATGTTAATTAGCTATTTACAATCAGTCATATCAGGTACATGCATTTCTAGAAAATCGAAGCCAAGTTCTGAAGAAGAGAATTTCCAGGAAAAATTCCTGCTAGCTTGGCTAGGGGTGATAACAAATAATAATACTAATGATATTAACAATAATAACAGCACCTTTTCCGAGGATTCAATAGCAAGAGTATATTTAATAGGAATCACAATGAATTATAATTATGTATCATTTGACCACTTTGAGCAAAAAAAAACACAAAACCCGTCGAAATTCTATTCATGAGTTTTTGATCACTATCCTATTTTTTCATATATATTTTGTGATTTCTTCTCGGCCTTTTTTTCGGTGCCCGAGGGAGATCGTTGGACATTTCGAAAGAAGATAAAATGACAATTTTAAGTTGTTTAGGGAGAAAAAAAAGGGTCTCGTGGCAAAACATTTGCCAGAATTTTAGATTGGTCAATCATCTTTACATATTTTCTACATGAGACTAATTTCTAAACATTAATATTAGGGTTCTGGCGAATAATTCTTATGCATATTGAATATTTGTTATGCTATTTTCCCCTGCATAATATTTATGACGCAAAAAAATTGTTTCTTTATTTCCTGATAATTTGAGATGTTTGTGCAGGATGCTGTTATTTTAATGTATTCCCTTTGTTTGAGTATTATGGAGGCTTCCGTTGAACAAAAAACATGAGGAAAATGCAAGTAACTTAAGACATGATAAATAAGTTCGACTGTACCCCTATGAACAAGAAAGGCCCTCTAAGTAACAAATTTGACGGATTTATTGATTTGAAGCTTCCTGTTTGGCTGCGGGTTATGTATGACCGCTCAGATGGGTACAACACCCCTTTGTGCTCCTACTCTGTTTTTTCCTTTCAACTAGAACCATTACGATGTTAATAGAATTTTTCTTCGTTCTTATTAAACAGTGGTGGAACCAGGTTTCTCTGACCAGGGGCACTGCCCCCCCCCTTCCCCCCCCCCCCCAAAAAAAAAATCCTGTAAAATGCAAAAACGAGGATTCCCACTGTTTAGCAGTATCTTCTTAGGGCTAAGTTATTGCCTAAAGCATATTTTTGGGGACACATTCTACAAACTGTACCTTAATTCACATGTATATTTAGTGAATACCACATCTTCTAGCTTGCTAAGGACCGCCACCCCCTCTTTCTCTTGCTTCCCCTGGATCCGCCTCTGCATAATAACATTGCATAGAGAGTCTCCCTTGCCCAGCACTGAAGCTTAGTTAATCAAGCTTGTACTGTACTTATACTCCGAGGCGCCACGAGAACCATTAGCGCTTTAAAAACGCTCTCATTTTCTTAAGAATCGATCTACGCCTTAATACCATTGATGGCTTTTACTTCGGAAAAAGCTCTTCCCATTCCTGCAGAGGTCAAATTTGTGTGGTCAAGGGCATAAATATCACTTATGTGAAACGAAGTTTGATCTTTCTTGAATATATTGAAATCTAAAATTCGGTTTAAAAAAAGAATACATTGTATTTTGCTTGCATACATTAAAACTATAATGTTATTTGTATTACTTTCACTTGGCGTCATTTTTTCCTTTATCTCGTTTGGCTCATTGGCGTTTACAGCTTAATTTCTTATGATATCATACGATCAATTATTGAAAGTAAAATCAAGAGGTTATCTCCTTTCCTCTATGGTAAATTAACCATTATCCTTTTCTAAAGAATATAACAGTTCTTCTGCATTGATTATGGCCGACTCAGTTACACCACAAGATAAACTCTAATCGACAGATAACGGACTAAGTCATGAGTATTCGGGCCAATCGGAGGCAGGGCTATTGTCGGTCAGGTGTCGGTCTAGTATTGGTCTCGTTGATGCGGCTGCAGGATTACCATGGTAGCAGGAGGTTTACTGCTTTTCATGCCAGATGTTTTATCGCCTATCGCCTACCGGAAGTATAGTTAGCAATGGAGAATGCGTCAATATTCTGCACTCCACAGCTCAATGAGCGTGTCATTACAACTTTCACACCTCTTCTGGTTTTTATCTCTTTTGACCATATTTGTCGATGGTTTCCGCAATTATTGTGTTTACTGCCATAGTTACTCACCCGTGGTGTAATCAACAAAGCCTCTTGCGAAAATTCAAACTCATCCCTAAATGCGCAATATTCCTTCTGGATGAAAAAGCAGGCTATATAATTATCTTCTATTTGCATTTATTTCTTTATTAATGTATGTACTTGTCTATTTATTTCTTTATTAATTTATTTATTTACTTATCTATTTAGTTATTTAGTTATTTATTATTTTCATCTGGGTTCGGTCGCACGTTATTATGACAGAGGTTATTACATTACTTAATTAGAGTCAAGATAAATCCCACATTATAAAAATTCACTCTTTTACAACTTGTGGGCAAAGGTGATAAAGTAATATAAATGAGTATTTGGCATAATCATGATAATTATATAATGTTTGGCGTAAAGATGACATTTTCCGGAAATTTTACTTTGTGAATAGAAAAATGCTTTATGTGAAAGATATCCCCGGCATAATATTATTAATATAGCTATCTAATCTTGTTAAAGCATTTTAAATAAGCTCCGTTATCATACGATTATTAACTGATCGTGCTTCAATCTCGTTTGTCAATTTTCTAACACACTTCATAAACTACCATATTTAACAGAAATTCCATAACAGTCAGGTTTGTAAAAGACAAACAATTATGAAGGGGAAGACTGATTTTCCGTATAAATCAGGCGGTATGAACCTCGGAACATACGCTCGCATACACAATCCCGTCCTTGGATACCTATGTTTGTTTCTTTATTTATTTCTTCGCTTTTATTAAAGGTAAAGACCAGTATTGGAAACGCCCCAATGTCAAAAAATGAAATGGAAGCTCTCATTACCAATCATGTGAAAGAATATGTTTTGACTAATACATGATGATAAAAAATTTGCCGGGATACCGCCTACTTATTCATATATTTGGTAAATTTGTTTCTCTCATGGTCTGTGAGAGATATAGGGTAGTCCCATATACATCTTTCTGTGTATAGTGCTTGTAACTTTACGAAGAATGGGCCAAATTTCTTATCATTTTGATGATTCCAGAACCTTGCAGATGCTAGATGCTAGATGATCAACCTTTTCTGATCGATTCCACAACGTTTCTTTCACAATGCAATCGCATGACCATAACTGGTCTTTACCTTTAATGTTTTTGTTGGTGCCTTTTTTCTAACAAATTGTTCTTTCATATAATTCTACCTATCAATTTTATCAATTTTTATGATGTCTTCTACTTCCGTCATGTAGGTTCAGGTGCAAGCGAGCTTTTTAAATCTAATATTTTTATTTTCACATTGCGTTTCTAGAATTCTCTTTGATGCATGCGCAGTACAAACACTCACACCCACACACCAGTCTCTGCAAAAACATAAACACGCACGCATGCACGTACGCACGCACTCACACAAGACTGATGCACGTGTGTATTCTTATGACTACCTAAATTCAAGGTCGTGCTTCCCCTTGATTATCTTTACTGGCCATATATTCTTTCCACGAATCACTCCTGTGTGATGGTCACGGTTGAAAGGTGTGGTCGGCTGACCAAGTGCGATAGTAATTCAATATTGAAAGTCAGCAACAATTCTAAGGTCATTTTGTGCGATATCCACACCAACGTTTTCCGCTTCGAAATTCCGGAAGCAAAAATAAAATAAAACCAAACAAAGCAAATAAACAAGCAAAACACACATACACACGGAGTTCCGGACATTTGCGGAAAAGGATACTACGGATATAAGTAGTATCCTTTTTGTGCTAATTCCTGTGATACCAAGAAACAGTTGGAAGCACAACAAAGTCCTTCACCAATGGTCAGGCTAAATTTGAGTGGACTTGGTATTACCGCACTAATTGTTTTCATTCTCTTGAAATAGTGTACAAGCAAGAAAAGTATCAATTAAAATCAATTTACAAACCTAAACAATGAAGGTAGGCCTATTGTATTATTATAATGAGTTGATTGTACTTTTATAAGCATGGGATAACCTTAATTAATCGGCAGGAACCGGTAGAAACAAAAGCAGCTTTAAAAGTGCGTCTTCCGGCTGCCTTGAAAATGGATTTTAGCAATGAAAATCCATGGCGCTTATATTCGAATCTCCTTGATCAATCTGATATTTAGCTGCCCAATTAGAGCATGAAACCATATATTTCTGAATAATTATAATTTTTCAAAATTGTGTTCAGTGTGTATATTAAATAATGTTGTTAATTACAGTAGATGTCATAATCACGTGACCTTCTATTCGGACAGGCCAAGCGCCACTGACTAATAGACAAAGCTTTTTATAGTGGATGTTTATCAATCATGCAATTTCGAAATCAATATTCCGGATATTAACATGGTCTAGATATTAACATTAATTTTCTAATCATAAGTTATTACGATTTTTTGCGAAATCTGGTCATTATGTTGGCGATTCTTTTTAACAGTATGAGAACTCACTGTGAAATATTTCATGTATTCACTCATGGATTAATCAAACAAAATGCAATCTGTTGATATTATTGATAACACTGATAAGAAAAATAGCACCATTTATAATATTTTCTAAAAATATCGAAGACAAGATAGACTTACTTTTGTGATGGAATAATATATCTTTTGCCTTTGTAGCAATGTAGCATACATTTGGATGTTGTTATTAACGTTTCGTCCGTTCTCATAATAATATGCTACCGTTTAAAGTTGATCTCGGATTTAACGTTTCTTACTTCAATCACACTCTTTCGAATTAGTACACATTATTTACCTTACGGAA